GCTAGGAGTCGGGTCCAACTTGAAGGCATATAACAACAACAACATGCTTTTGGAAGAGCTCTGCTGATGTTTAATGGAGGAAAGGAGAGTTGGGTGGACATAACCCTGCATAGAGTAACACAACCAGTTTCTAGTGAATTGTATTTTCCAACCTCCCTCTGGTTTCTGGTCTCTCCTGATTCTTTGCATGTAGAAAGTCTTCACAAAATCATTGTGGAATTATAAACTTTAATAGTAAAGATTGTAGGCATAATAAAAACACCTGTAAATAGCACTTAAAAAAAATCTATTAAAATTCAGGGTATCATTGTATTCCGTGTAATCTTATTTCAGCTTACATTAGAGACTGAAAGCTGTGTTCTGAGGTAAACCAAATTAGCTGTGAAAAGAGACTTCTATTTGCCTTTGAATTCTGGTGTACAGATTTTTTTTTTTTTTAAATCAAATCCTTAGCCTCTGTTTAGAACATTTACTGTTTAAAAGATCCACAAAGACATTTTAATACCTCCTTGCTTAGAAGTTACACCTAAGGTCAGAGTGGCCCCAGCCCAGGTGGAGACAAGAATAAGAATGTTTTTTCCATTAGATAAACTACATCTAAGCTCATATTTGAGCATCTCTCAGCTAAGCTTTGCTTTATTTCCAATGAGCAGAAGCTGATAGATTTTTTTCAGAGTAGTTTCCACGAAAACATGGATGTAGGCATCTCAGAACTTAAATTGTTAGCAGACGGAAGATCAAGGAGAATGATAAAATGACAATTTCCCTCTTCCTCACATAGTTCCCAGATGAGATCTTTTTCTATTTTATGGATATTGCATTTGGGATTTCCTACAATGTGAGGACAAGCACAGCATGACCTGGAGCAGCAGGCACCTTTAATAAAGGCCAATGTACTAGGCAGAAGAGCCTGTGGCTTAGGGCAGATCTCAAATCCCATGGGAACAATTTCCAAAGGCAATCTTTTCAGCAGGCTGCTCTCATGAGCATGTTTTTGGGCACTCTAAAACTCGACTACCTCTCCTGGTCCCACCCATAACACTTTCCAAATATCAAAATATCATAGTGAAAATGTGGGTTAATCTAAATAAAATTTTTTTTTTCCTCATACACTGTTGTGATACATAGTCATCTCTATCCAGTGGCCAGGAACTGGACAATTAAGTCAGTTATTCTGCTATTTTAAAAACTAAAATATAGTAGTGCAATTCTGCTGCTTTAGGAACTTAAAATACAATATTATAAATAAGTGAAAATTTCAAGCAGAAGATTTTTTTCTTCTTATTTTTTTTTTTTGTTTGTTTGTGGCATATGGAGGTGAGGAGTAGAAAGATGAAATATAGGAAAACTACCTCACTGTTCATTGTATTGATACACATCCCAAGGTTTAATGGGATTGAGTCAGGGCCAGCGATTACTGTGACATAAATATTTTACTTATGCTGTGAGGTGAGAAGCTTGGTCTGAGCAATTACTAACAACAACATTATCCCAAAAATAAATTAAAAATAAAAAAATAAAAATCAAGAAAAGCCAAACTCATTGCCATTGAGTTGATTTTGAATCATAGCGACCCCTATTGGGTTTCCAAGGCTGTAAAACTTTCTGGAAGTAGATTGTCCCATCTTCCTTCCATGGAGCAGCTGTGGGGTTTGAACCAACAAAGTTCTGGTTAGTAGTCAAATACCTTAGGTACTGTACCATCAGAGCTCCTTCAAAATAAATTAGGATTGGAATAAAAAATAAATTAAGATTGAAAAAAATAGTGTCCTTCAAATGTCACTGGTATGTATTTTGTGTGTGTGTGTGTGTGTGTGTGTGTGTGTGTATGACACACAGAGATGGATAGAGAAAGAGTTATCCAGTTGGAAGGGACAACTTCTGGTAAGGAAAACAAACAAACAATAATTCCAGGATGCATGCATGAATACTCTTGAGTTTTTCTTTTCCTAGAAATAGGAAGTTATTTGTGAAAGCTTCTTACCCATATTCCTTAGTTTATCTGAAATTGCCATGGTTGAATGTCAAAATGAAGACAATTATTAGCATGTTGGTGATTACAGATTTTTGGAAACGTGATGCGCTGAGGGCCACAGACTTTAAATTCTCCTCACATCTGGAAGCCATCACTAGAGGGAAGCTTATTGAAGAAAGGCATCCTGAGTGTTATAATGTTTTACTTAGCACCAGTGACCTGTCAAGAAGCAATGGAGATAATGGAGCTGGAGACCGTTTAGAATCACTCGTGACATGGGGTCCCTGCTCTCCTTCTGCTCTGTGTGTTGTATGATGGCTATTTTCAAAAAGCAGTATGCTTTGATTAAAGGTGAAAAGTTAGAATTAGGGGTCTCTGGTGGGAGAAAAAAGGTTGCGGTTCATATTCTTTAGCAAGAAGAATGATTAAACATGGGCTTTTGTTATGGATGAAGAATAAGAATCAAGGTTTTTAGCAAGAAGTGGAAAGGGAGTTCTTGGGTAAGATCGCCTTAGTAAGGAAGGATGATCATGAGCACTCTTACCTAGATGTTCTCCATAGCTTAGAGTTTTGAGTTAAATGTTAATGAGAACAAAGGAGAGAAGTAGGATATTTCTCTTGCTTTGTTCATCTGTAGTTGGAAGTTGAGTTTCTGTAGGTCATAAAGTGTGTGACTTTTCTTATCTATGACTATGTAGGTGATATTAGTATCTGATTTTCTTGAGGCTGAGCCTGTTGCATAAGAAACCATTTGGGTGTCTCACCACTCTCTTCCACTGCTTAACTAAGCTCCAGAGGAGACGTTTGTTGTTATTGTTAGGTGCTGTTGAGATGTCTCTGACTCAAAGCAACCCTATGTACAGCAGAACAAAACACTACTGAGTCCTGTGCCAACACCATGATTCCAGCTATACTTGAGTGGATCGTTGTAGCCACTGTGTCAATCCATCTCATTGAGGGCCTTCTCCTCTTTAGCTGACCCTCCACTTTACCAAGCATGATATCCTTCTGCAGGGAATGGTCTCTCTTCTTGCAACATGACCAAAGTAAGTGAGATGAACTCTGGCCATTCTCACTTCCAAGGAGCATTCCAGTTGCACTTCTTCCAGGACAGATTTGTTACTTGTTTTAGCAATCCATGGTACTTTCAGCATTCCTCACCAACACCACAACTCAAAAGCATCAACTCTTCTTCAGTCTTCCTTATTCATTGTCCAGCTCTCACATGTATATGAGGTGATTGAAAATACTATGGCTTGTTTCAGGCGCACCTTAGTCCCCAAGGAGACATATTTGCTCTTCAGCACTTGAAAGTGGTCTTTTGCAGCCAATTTGCCCAGTGCTATACATCCTCTGATATTTTGACTGCTCTTTCCATTGGCATTGATTGTAGAACTAAGTAATATGAAGTCTTTCACAACTTCAATCTTTTCTCCATTTGTTGTGATGCTGCTTATTGGTCCAGTTGTGAGGATTTTTGTTTTCTTTCTAATGAGTTGTAATCCATACTGTAGACTGTATTTTTCAATCTTCTTCAGTAAGTATTTCATGTCATCCTCACTCTCAGCAAGCAAAGTTGTGTCATCAGCATATAGCAGGTTGTTAATGATTCTTCCTCCAATCCTGATGCCACATTCCTCTTCATATAGTCCAGCTTTTTGAATTATATGCTTGGTGTAGAAATTGAATAATTATGGTGAAAGGACACAACCCTGATATACTCCCTTATTGATTTTAAACCATGCAGTGTCCCCTTCTTCTGTTCAAATGGCAGCCTCCGGGTCCATGTACAGGTTCCTCATGAGTACAATTAAGTGTTCTAGAATTTCCATTCTTCTCAATGCTATCCACAATTTGTTATGATCCACCCAATCAAATGCTTTTGCATTTTGTGTTGTTGAAAGAAAGGTATTTGGAATGAATAAGTTGTTGGTCTTGCAAAATTCTATCATGCAATCTCCAGCATTATTTCTATCACCAAGGCCATATTTTCCAACAACTGGTGATTCTTCTTTGTTGTCAACTTTTACATTCCAATAACCAATGATAATCATCACATCTTGATTGAATGTTCAGTCAATTTTAGACTGCAGAAGTTGGTAATAATCTTCAATTTTCTCATCTTTGGCTTTGGTGGTTGGTGAAAAAATTTGAATAATAGTAATATTAACTGGCTTTCCTAGTAGATGTATGGATTTTATCCTATCACTGACAGCATTGTACTTCAGGATGGATCTTGCAACATTCTTTGTGATGATGAATGCCACTCCATTCCTCTTAAATTTGTTATTCCCAGCATAGTAGATCATATGGTTGTCTGATTCAAAATGGCCAAAACAGGTCCATTTCAGCTCACTAATGCCTGGGATATCAATCTTTATGCATTTCATTTAATTTTTGGCAACTTCCAATTCTCTTAGATTTATACTTCATACATTCCATGTTCCTGTTATTAATGGATGTTTGTATCTGTTTCTCCTCAGTTTGAGTCATGCCAGGTCAGCAAATGGAGGTCCCAAAGGCTTTATTTTATCCATATGATTAAGGTCCTTTCTACTCTGGTGAGGCAGCCCTTTCCCAGTCATATTTTGAGTGCCTTCGGACCTAAGGGGCTCATCTTCTGGCACTGTATTGGACAACATTTCAGGGGTATTCATAAGGTTGCCTGGTAACATATCAGACAGTGTTTCTCTGCTATTCATCAGATTTTCCCTGGCCAATTGTCTGAGATGTGGATGGCCTCTTCATTCTTCCAAGTCTGTCTCAGTCTGGAAGTTCCACTGAAACCTGTCCACCATGGGTAACCCTGTTGGCATTTGAAACACTGGTGGCATAGCCTCCAGCCTCACAGAAACACACAAGCCATCATAGTAAGGCAAACTGACAGAGAAATTCATCTCTCTTAGTTGTTCAAAACTGCTCACTTCCTGACCTTCCCAGCGGTTCTGGCCCACTGCCAGCTCCTGCTTCCTCTCCTGGCCTCCCCTAGCTTGTTCCTACCTGTTGCCAGCTCCTGCTTTCTTACATGGCCTCCTCTACATTGTTCCAGCCTGCTGCTGGCTCCCACTTCTTTTCCTGGCCTCCCCTAAATAGGGAAAGGGGGAGCAAAAGAGAGAATAATAATTCTACAAATTTCTGGGAATTTTCCTATAATTAAAAAATGGCTATCAAAAACAAATACAACTTTTGGCAATAAAATTCCTTCTTATGTCTAATTTAAATGGCTTTTGCACTACACAACAATTGTGCATGCTGCTGAATGAATTTAAACTTGGATCTTTCTTGCTATGTCTCATAGATGGGACAAAGATCATCCCATGAGTCCACTAATAGCATACAGCATGTAAAAGCACTCGCACTGTTCTTGTGGACCAAATGAAAAGTCCAGAATAGTGCATTATCAATGTTTTGAGCCAAGCAGCTCTGGCTTTTATAGATTAAAATAAACTGCCATTTGTATTTACTAGTTGCTGTTGAGCCAATTCTAATTCATAGAAACACCGTATGTGTCAGAGTACAATTGTGATCTATAGTATTTTTAATGATTGATTTTTCAGAAGTATATAATCAGGACTGTCTTCCAAGGTGGCCTTGGCTGGATTCAAACTTTCAACTTTTGATTAGTAGCCAATACTTAATTGTTTTCACTACCCAGGGATTCTTTTTCCCACATGTTGTTGTTATGTGCCATGGAGTCGGATCTGATTCATAGCGACCCCTCCTTGGGTTTCCGGAAATAGATTGCCCCATCTTCCTTCCGAGGAGTGGCTGGTGGGTTTGAACCGCCAGCCTTCTGGTTAGCAGTCAAGTGCCTTAGCCACTATGCTACCAGAGCTCCCTTTCCCACATAGTTATTGCCAAATACTGATAGTACACAATGAATATATGATTATGATTGACCATATTCATTGTTTAGAAGCTATTTATGTTGTGTTGTTGTTGTTTGTCATCGAGTCAGCCCCGACTCATAGCGACCCCTCCTTGGGTTTCCGAGGCAGTATCACTACGGAAGTAGGATTGCCCAACCTTCCTTCTGAGGAGTGGCTGGTGGGTTTGAACCGCCAGCCTTCTGGTGAGCAGTCAAGTGCCTTAGGCACTATGCTACCAGAGCTCCTAAGCTATTTATAGGATTCTAATATTTCCTTTTAGTATTTCTTTACATACTTGACTAATCTCTTCTAATTGAAGATTATGTGTAAACTCCTCAATTGCAGAGTTAAATGGATGGTGAATTGTAGAAATTTTCTTTGCATTTGAATTGAGGTCTTAAAAAGTGCTTCTGGAAATGTAGTTTGAGTTCAGAAAATATATTCATTGCATTAGAGATATCACTTTTTGTTTTAACTTTTATAGCATGGGAAATGTATAAAGAAGCATGGCGTTAATTATAACGCAAACAATGTTAGTTATGTATATTATCATTTTACTGTAAAATACATTTCACATATATACAATGTTCAGAATTTTAATATTATTTTGAGTTCATTAAGAAAAATTATCATACCTAAAGCAAAATCTAGTTTCAAACCCATTCAGTTGTTGAGGACAGTTCTTCTCATTTAGGACAAAATTAATTTTGTCTCTAATTTATAAAAATCTTATCAAAACATTGGCACTGCTAAGCCCCTAAACTTCTATCTCATATGGCAAATCAGTATATTCAATATCTGTTTTTGATAAAAATCCATGGAACTAATAACAATGGAGTTCACAAGAGGAAATAATGTTCCCCATTGACACTACTGGGTCAATAACTTATGATAGATTCAAAATTTTCCCCACAGAATCTGAGGCTAAAGAATACCAGTGTAAATACATACAAAAAACCACAGTTTCTAGCACCTTACATTTCATAAGATTTGTGAATTTGTCCAAGTAGGCCCTTTTCTGCTCTACACATTTTTACCACAGTAAGCTGTAATACATCTTAGAAGTTTCCACTTCAGATTATATAGAATTAGTGTTTTCTAAAATTGTTCAAATATATTCCCACATGCAGTTGTTCCATGTTGACTATTCACAGCATCTAATTATTCAGTCTTGTCAAACAACATTGATTCCTCAAATAAACAACAACTGAACCATATCAATAACACCTGTCAAGTTATTAAGAACCAAAGGAAACCATTCAAAATCAATTGAGTGGTTTTAAATTGACTATTGGTACTGCTTCCAATGTTCTCAACTTTAAAAACAACTATTTTTGTTGAAAGCCTGCTAGCATTAAATAATATTGTTTTCTCTGGACACATTTGTTTGACTGCGGAAACAGACGTAATTTAATGAACTCATCATTAGTGAGTGGCTTTCTTTGCTTGACTAAGAAATGAGCCACTCAGAAGTATATATTGGTTGCAAATTTTGTTATAATGATATATTGTTTTAGTTTTTTTGTTATGATTCATTTACTTTGAGTTGGGAAGATTGTGATAAGTGCTTAGTCTCATAATGTCAAATTATATTGCATTCATTGAGCACAGCTATACTGTCATGGCAAAATAAACACAATGACTTGCCATTGCAAGACATACAAAAATAGGAAGTGGACTGAATTTGACCTGTGGGCTGTAGTTTCTGACCTCTGATCTAGAATGTAGTCAAGAGCTGATACCATTTCAAACAGCTTTTGAACACTTCTAGTATATATCACAAAGCCTCTTTGGCATTTATTAATGTAAAATTTTGAGCACATTGTCTAAAATTCTAACTTATTTTTTCTTTTAATTTTTGTATTAAAAGTGTAGTTAAAGAGAAGAGAGGAAGTCCTACAAACAATCTCACATAAGCTCAAGGGACCCTTGAAATTTTAATATGAAGTTGACAAACAAAATATAAAAAATAGCCACAATGGAAACACTTCTAGAATGTCAGTTTAAGAACTTCTGAAAATCCACTCTTCATGAAAGGAGTAAGACTATTAACAAAAATGCATTTTTTTCAGAACTCTGGAAGTGGACTGGAGGCTTACAACAATCTGAAGAGCATTTATTCAAGAACAGTGGCAGAATCTTGGTGAGAACAGTAGGCTTTGTGGCAGGAATGCCTGCTCTATTCCCATTCAGTAGCGGTAACAAGGGGCTCTGGTGGTACAGTGCCTAAGGCACTTGACTGCTAATCAGAAGGCTGGAGGTTCAAACCCACCAGCCACTCCTCAGAAGGAAGATGGGCAATCTACTTCTATAGTGATACTGCCTCAGAAACCCAAGGATGGGTTGCTGTGAGTTGAGTCCAACTCGACAGCACATAACAACAACAACAACAAAGCAGTAACAACAACAAACAGCAATGACAACAAATCAAAAATAGAGGGAATTACTTCCAGAATTGTCTCCTTGTATTATTAAACATGTCTGGTTTTCAGCAAGGAATTATAAAACATGCAAGAAACAGGAAAGTATGGTTCATACATATGGGGGAAAAAACAGTCAATATAAACTGTCCCTGAAGAATCCTAGACATTGAACATACTAGACAAAGATTTTAAAATAGCTATTATAAATATATACAAAGAACCAAAGAAAATCATATCTAAGCAACTAAAGGAAACAATGAACACAATATCTCAGATGTTACAGAGTATCAGTAAAGAGATAGACTATAAGATAGAATCAAATAGAAATTCTGTAGTTGAAAAGTACAATAATACATTTTTGAAAAATAAAATGAAAATATAAGACAGGCTCCACAGCAGATTTGAATTGACAGGGGGAGAAAAAAAAAAAAGTCACATTTGAAATATAGGTCAATGAAGATTATCTAGGCAGAGAAACAAAAAAGAAAATAAAGGAGTAAATTATTAGGGACCGAACCTCAGAGACCTATGCAACACCACTAAGCGCACCAATCTACACACAATGGGAGTCCTAGAGAGAGAAGAGAGAACAGGGAAGAAAGATCCATTGAATAAAAAAATGACTAAAAATTTCCAAATTTTAATGTAAAACCTTAATCTACACATTCGAGATGCATAATAAGCTGTTGTTGTTGTTGTTGTTATGTGCCGTCGAGTCGGCCCCGACTCATAGCGACCCCTCCTTGGGTTTCCGAGGCAGTATCACTACGGAAGTAGGATTGCCCAACCTTCCTTCCGAGGAGTGGCTGGTGGGTTTGAACCGCCAGCCTTCTGGTTAGCAGTCAAGTGCTTTAGCCACTATGCTACCAGAGCTCCTATAATAAGTAGGTAATCAAAAGAATTCCCAACTGAATACATCATAATCAAACTACTGAAGGCCAAAAAAAAAAAAAAAAGAAAAAAGAAAAAGAAAATCTTGAAAACTGCAAGAGAGAAGCATTTTGTTTTTAACTGTCTTTCTGCCTTATTTAAAAGACAAGTGTACAAAACAATAATTATAAAACTTTGTTGATGGGTTTATAATGTACAAAGATATGCTATGGTGAAAATGGCCTAAATGCCAATGAATGAATGAATTAGGCAGAGTGTGATACATGTACACATTTCAGCTCAGCTGAAGGAGAGGTGTGGTCTTGATCTATCTGCAATATAGATGGAGCTTGGGGACAATATGCAACTGAAATCAGTAAATCACAAGGGACAAACACCATAAGATCTCACTTATATGAAAGGACCAAAAAACAAACTCATCGCCGTTGAGTCAGTCCCAATTCATAACAGCCCTCCTTGGATTTCCGAGGCAGTATCACTATGGAAGTAGATTGCCCATCCTTCCTTCCAAAGAGTGGCTGGTGGGTTTGAACTACCAGCCTTCTGGTTAGCAGTCAAATGCCTTAGGCACTACGCCACCAGAGCTTTTATGTGAAAGGACAGGAATGGGCAAATTATGGAGAACAAAATTTATTAGGGTTACCAGGGTGGAAGGGGAGCTCTGGTAGCATAGTGGCTAAGACACTTGCCTGCTAACCAGACGGCTGGCGGTTCAAACCCACCAGCCACTCCTCGGAAGGAAGGTTGGGCAATCCTACTTCCGTAGTGATACTGCCTCGGAAACCCAAGGAGGGGTCGCTATGAGTCGGGACCGACTCGATGACACATAACAACAACAACAACAGGGTGGAAGGGAGGAAAATGGAGATTATTGTCTGTGGACCACTGGGATTTGGTTAATG